TCCTTTAAAAATATAATATAATATTTACTTATTATACTGAATTATATCATTACTTATTTTATATAATTATCTATAAAATTAAAAAGATTTACCTTATTTAAAAAATTGTAATTTCTATAATTATTTTATACATACCTCAATACATGACATTTAGTACATTACATATATTTTATTACAAATTAATAATAAAAATTAAATTTAAAGTAAGATTTAAATTACTTTAATCATATTTTAACAAGAAAAATAAGTAAATTAATTAATAAATAAATTTTAAAATCATTTAAAAAGATAATTTTATATAGAAATTTAGTAATTTTTTTCGGTAAAAAGTATTTACTTTTAAGCTAAATAGTTAAGTTTTAAACCCGTTTCTGTACATACTTTCTTCGTTTTGTAGCGTGAATAAACATATTTTTTAAACTATTTTAATATTTTGAAGTATTTAAAATACCATTAATATAATATATAACATATTAAATAGTATTTTATATATTTAAAAATTAATTGTAATATTGAATTTAATTATTAAACGTACCAAACAACGTCGTTTGCCACATAGTAGATGTGAAAATTAAGTATATTCCATAAAGAGCACTTAGATGAAGGAGGAGGAATAATATGACATTTCGCCAGACAATTTCACGTTTTTTTTCCATTTCCGGGTCAAGCTTTGTTGCCGGTGTTTGGATCGAAGCAGAGGTAATGGAAGGAGACACGTTCTCCATGAAGTAATCTTTGTGTAAAATCTAAAAAATATATTACTTAATAAAGGCATTACTATGTTCAAATACATTGCTAACGATCTAGCATATCAATATATTTAAATAAGAAACTTATGTTAAGAGATGAAGGTATGATGAAGACTTACCCTATCGAGGATAACTCAGTACTGCAGTCAGTGCCACAATGACCAAGATGCCCGACTAATGTTATGGAAGCGACGACGATCACGCCATGACCTTACAAAATAACCTTGAAAAATGTTGCTATGGTTACTGAATAATACAAGGGGGATTGGTTCGAAATTTCTCTCGTCACACTCTTGGTAAAACTCTATGTTCATAAATAATTTCTATTGATGTGGAGGTGCCGTGCAAAAGCAAACAAATCCACAAAAAATCAAAGTTGAGTTTATAATTAATTTTTTTTTCCTTTTTTTAAATTTAATGTTCATAAATAATTTCTATAAATGTGGAGGTGCCGTGCAAAAGCAAACAAATCCACAAAAAATCAAAGTTGAGTTTATAANCCTATCGAGGATAACTCAGTACTGCAGTCAGTGCCACAATGACCAAGATGCCCGACTAATGTTATGGAAGCGACGACGATCACGCCATGACCTTACAAAATAACCTTGAAAAATGTTGCTATGGTTACTGAATAATACAAGGGGGATTGGTTCGAAATTTCTCTCGTCACACTCTTGGTAAAACTCTATGTTCATAAATAATTTCTATTGTTTATTTTAAAAATTATAAAATTTTTATTTTATTATAAAAATAATATATTTTTTTATGTTATGAAAAATATAATAAGTTTAATACAAAGATTTGTACTGATTTTTTAAAAAATTAATTTATATTAAGCTGAGATTATACAATGATTATTTTATTTTATTTTATTTGTTAAAAACTAATATGTTATGATTTTATTGAATTTTTTAATGTTAATTAAGACATTTAATGCTGTTCAATTTATTAATATCTGTGTGACTAAATTAAATAATTAATACTGTTTTGTATCGCTGTTATACGAAATTTATACGCAAAAAAAATGAAAAAAAATTTATTATTATTTATTGTAAATATTTCGTTATTTTTACAGGTTGTTTTTATTAATTTTAGGACTTTTTAGCCATCTTTGAGGCATTTTAGTCGTGAATTTTATGTGTAGTTATGTTATCCAACTCTACGCCGTGCCATGATTCTAATCCTTAATTGGCCATAAATTTATATTAATATTTCAAGGAAAGTTAGAAGCAATTTGTTAAGTAAGAAGAGAAAACTATTACCTTATGTTATTATTTTAAATATTATAAAATGATTTTGGTTAGATGATATAAAAAAGAAAGAACTATCATAAAAATAAAGAATCATTTTGTACTGTACCTTTATTGGTGATTTATGTCAGCTTAAAAATACTTAAATTAATTATTTAAAAATATAATTAATTGAACTTATTAATTCCTGTTCTGCAATGTAAAGTGCTGTAAATGAAATTAAACGTCTATTTTAATACATTTATTCTTATATCTTGAACGTTTAGTTCCCATTTAATTGAGTAAAAAAGAACAGATCAGTTTAAGCCAAATAGTTTTGTATAATACATCATATACAATTTTGATAAATTATTAATTTGAAAAATGTCCCAAATTTGTATATCATAAAGCGCAAGAGTCTCAAGCAAAAAATTGAAGATAGTCTTGTGTAAATACAGGTGAAAAAATTTAATAGAACTGTGAAATTTTAGTACTTTTTATTTTTAGCGTGAGTTTCTTCATAATACATTTAAAATGTTTGACAAAAGTAAGCGAGACGAAAACAATATCCAAATAGAAAATTTCTTTAATTATTTCTATGTGATTATTGTCATTAAAGAATTTGTTTGTTTTTCTTATTAACAGATATAAGAATTTTTGAATTATCGCGGTTAATTTGAAGTCCATTTTCTTGCTATTATTTGTATAACTTGTTTGATTTCATTTGCATATTAATATAATTTTTTATCTAAAATAACATCATTATCAACGTATTGCAACAGGTGTATATTTAAAATTGCAACCTGGCATTGTGACATGTCACAATAAATATTTTCTCGTTTACTAATACTCGTTTAATTAAATTTTAGATTTTCTAATGACATTCTATTTGAATGGAAACTAATAAAATTAAAAGTTATTTGTAAAAACAACGACAAAATGAGCAATTATTTATTGTGACATCGTCACAATGCCGGGCTACAATTTTTAATCATATTTTTTAATAAATTTAATTTAAAATATATGCTCTCCATCTCAAATTAGTAGTGGCTTGCCCCTGTACTGTACATCATATTTTTCTTTTAACAATAGATCGTGCCGGTCATCTAACACCTTACAGGGAGAAATTTTTTAATTGAAATAATGTCACTTCCGGTTTACATCGAAAGTACATATGTCGTTAATCCCAGCCTCCTGCCCCTATGGTTTCCATATCTGGTCTTGATATTTGTCTATCTAACTTTATTCTCGAGATCAAGGAAAGATGGACGGACGGCCAACGGACGACAGTGGAAATTTATGTCTACAATTTTTTCAAATTACAACCTAATAACGTTGCATTTTTGGTCCTGCATATTTTATAAAGGATGGAAGTCATCAATCTCAGTAACAGAGTTCATTTTGAGCTTGTTTATTGCATAGTTATCTCAACTATAGTGTAACAATTTCAACAATCTGTGAATGTAAAATCAGTGAATATAGGTACTGAGACTGTAAAATATGGAGTCTGACAAGCTTAGAAACTCTACTTGAATATAAATCCGAGTAAAAGTTATACCACTCGTCCAAATAAGTGTCATTCCTTAGTCAACTCTACTGACGAGGATACTTGACTACAAAAAAAAGCCAAATGTATCTCGTTTTAGACAACTGTAACGAGAAAGTACGAAAGTAAACTATTTTCTTAGCTCTACACAAAGCCGTAAATTTACATTTCAATTATAGATAAAACTGTATTTAAATCGGAAATTGTATTCGATTGACGAAATCCTCTAACACACAACTGTTTCTGTCGTTTCGTAGAATGACGGATCTCGTCAAACCACTGCCGTTCCGATTATAAGTCAATATATTACACTTATATATTTTTAACTGTCGGATGAAATGTTTTAAATAGGAAGTTAAGAATTTATGAAACGTAGAAGGATTAATCAATATGATGAGCACTATCGAAAACAAACTCGCATATTTTACCACAGGTTTCAAATACGTGAAATAAAGTCGCCCGTAATTAGAATTTCATCATTTATGACCAATTATTCTCTAAAAGTTCAAAGATCCTAACTTAAGTTTACAGGCCGTTTCATCTGTTGTGTTTATATATATATAGGCTAAACACTTAATATATGTATATATTAGGATTAGTAAAACATTTAAATTTCTGAAAAATTTAAAATTACACATTATAACTGTAATGAACTCTAGAAACAATTCGTTCAAAATAGCCAAACTTCTTTAACATCAACAAATCTGAAGAATGTCCGTAAACTTTAGTACGAATAGCATCTGAAGAAGAAATGATTCAATTATCAGAAGTTAAATTTGTTAAATATACGTTGGCATCTTACTGACACCAAATCTCAACACATCCAAATGCATAATAATCCAAATCCATAATAAAGTTAAATAAAGTTTGACTAAAGCCAGAAAAATAAAACTTGAATTCTATTTTTGGATCATTGAATTACCGAGAGCATTTTCATTCACTTTTAAATGCAGGATTACGGAATTTATAGAATTATTTTTTATGAAGCATAGCCGGTAATCCCAACAATAAAGAAAAACATTTTTATGTAATTTAATAAATGTCTATGGGGGCAATCGAGAACCAGAAGCTATACAGAAAAAATAAAATTTTGCGGAAGAAAAAGTAGTATTATTTTCTAAAATTTAATAAGAATCAGACTGCGACACCTAATATACCTACTGTGTAACACAATAAATGTTCGAGTTATTCTTCCCTCTTCTTTCTACATGAATGAAATCTCTCTACTTTTGGTAGTCAGTTTTAGATCCTTAATAAGCATTTGAACGATATAGGTCTTTGAATTTAATTCGATCGAAATTGGGAGATTAAATATCATAAAATTATTATTAATTCCAATGTTGGTTATTATATCCAATAAATAAATGACCACAATACTCCATTAGCTGAAAAGGTCTTTTGTACACTTTTTTAACCAGCAATTCGAGTTTTCAGGTTATTGTTTTCCTCTTCTGATTGTTTATCTCTTCTTATATAATAATTTTTTACTGTTTTAACCAGCTGTTACTGCAGTTAAATTATTATAATTAAGACTCTAACGAGACCAAACGGTTAGCAATAAATTCGATTTTATCGGAGAAATTAGCAAAAGAGGTTTTCAAGAAATTTCTCAATGATGAAAAGTCATTATCAGCTTCAATATCTTTCACTTTATGTGAGATATGTTTTTGACAAGGAAAAATTCTAGACGAATTCTAGCCATATGCCAAGGTAAAACCCTTGGCATATGGCTCACATGGCGAAAGTTTACGTCTACCCAAATCTTGAAAATCATCTTAGGAGGCGGAGTCCTGACAATAATTTTTTAGCCTTGAGTTAAGGGTGAATAATAAAATAGTAAGACAAATATACAGTAAGTTATTTATTTAAAATCATCACTAAACAATAACAATAATTTCCGGTAAGATAGAAGTAATTTTAGAGAAAAATTGTCACCAGCAGCCATGAAACTCAGTAGTGCCCCCAAAATAATAATTATAATTTTAATGTTTTTTATTTAAAAACATTTATTTAAATTTATAATAATAAATTGTTTCAAATCCACATACAGTAGTTTATATTAATTGATTCATTTGATTTTCTGCATGAAAAATATTACAGCAGAGAGCCTTTTCAAACGAGTATCAATTCTATAGGAAGAACATCAATAATTTTTCTGTTAAAAATTTCTTAAAATTTAAATTTAATTAATCTATACAGAAAGGAAACTGTATATAAGTATTTTTCTTTCGTAAAATTATCAATATTTTACTTAAAATTAATTTTATTTAATAAGTTCAATTACCAATATAGTTCAACTTCATATTGATACTTATCAATACATTAGAATCTTGAATCTAGACCCGAATGATTCACAAAATTTCCAATTGTATTTGTATTCTAAACTTTCATAACAGCAGAATTTTGAATAAGTGTTAAAAT